AAAAAAAAAAAAAAAAAAACACATTACTTTTAGGTTTCATTCTTTATTTTAATTTTTAAATCATAACTTTATTCCAACAATTTTTTATTTATTTAATACTTAAAAATTTATCTAATAAGTAAATTTTTAAATTTTTATGTAATAAATTTGTGAATTTGGAATTTGTAATTTGAGAGGCTAATATATAGTTGTGTTTATTTTCTAATGTTGTTCTAAGCTAAGTACAATTATGGTCTGATATGATACTATATGAGTAGAATTCTCATGATACGAACAAAAAATGTATTTTATTGAGAGCTCTATAAAGATATCGAGCTTCAATGAAGGAGAAACGGGATTCTATTATTTTGATTTCTAGTTTAGATTTTGAATGGCTTTTGCTCTTTCACAGTGAAAATGGAAGACCCGAAACTACAAGCATTCCCGTTCTCAATCAATTTTTTGAATTGTTAATAAATTAAATGTTCCATAGGCACCCAAATGTTCCATATTGTCTATTGTTTTTCTTTTGTCGCCGCCGCCACTGCCACCGCCGGTGACGGTGTCGCTTCTGTGGTTTTCTTCTCCTCCTCGGTGGCTTTTGTGAGTTCTGCTGCTACCTTGACGATAGCTTTTTGGGGCTCTACCATTGCTGCCTCGACGGCGGCCTTTTGGGGAGCTACTGCCGCTGCCTCGACCACTACCGGCGCGGCCTCGACGGCCGCCTTTTGTGGCACTACCGGCGCGGCCTCGACGGCTGCCTTCTGGGGCACTACCGCCGCTGCCTCGACGGCGGCCTTTTCGGGCACTACCGCCGCTGCCTCGACGGCGGCCTTTTCGGGCACTACCGCCGCTGCCTCGACGGCGGCCTTTTCGGGCACTACCGCCGCCGCCTCGACTGCGGCCTTTTCGGGCACTACCGCCGCTGCCTCGACGGCGGCCTTTTCGGGCACTACCGCCGCTGCCTCGACGGCGGCCTTTTCGGGCACTACCGCCGCTGCCTCGACGGCGGCCTTTTCGGGCACTACCGCCGCTGCCTCGACGGCGGCCTTTTCGGGCACTACCGCCGCTGCCTCGACGGCGGCCTTTTCGGGCACTACCGCCGCTGCCTCGACGGCGGCCTTTTCGGGCACTACCGCCGCTGCCTCGACGGCGGCCTTTTCGGGCACTACCGCCGCTGCCTCGACGGCGGCCTTTTCGGGCACTACCGCCGCTGCCTCGACGGCGGCCTTTTCGGGCACTACCGCCGCTGCCTCGACGGCGGCCTTTTCGGGCACTACCGCCGCTGCCTCGACGGCGGCCTTTTCGGGCACTACCGCCGCTGCCTCGACGGCGGCCTTTTCGGGCACTACCGCCGCTGCCTCGACGGCGGCCTTTTCGGGCACTACCGCCGCTGCCTCGACGGCGGCCTTTTCGGGCACTACCGCCGCTGCCTCGACGGCGGCCTTTTCGGGCACTACCGCCGCCGCCTCGACTGCGGCCTTTTCGGGCACTACCGCCGCCGCCTCGACTGCGGCCTTTTCGGGCACTACCGCCGCCGCCTCGACTGCGGCCTTTTCGGGCGCTACCGCCGCTGCCTCGACTGCGGCCTTTTGTGGCGCTACTGCCGCTGCCTCGACGGCTGCCTTTTGTGGCGCTACTGCCGCTGCCTCGACGGCTGCCTTTTGTGGCGCTACTGCCGCTGCCTCGACGGCTGCCTTTTGGGGAGCTACTGCCGCGGCCTCGACGGCCGCCTTTTGGGGAGCTACTGCCGCGGCCTCGACGGCCACCTTTTGGGGCACTACCGGCGCTGCCTCGACGGCGGCCTTCTGGGGCACTACCGGCGCTGCCTCGACGGCGGCCTTCTGGGGCACTACCGGCGCTGACTCGACGGCGGCCTTCTGGGGCACTACCGGCGCTGACTCGACGGCGGCCTTCTGGGGCACTACCGGCGCTGACTCGACGGCGGCCTTCTGGGGCACTACCGGCGCTGACTCGACGGCGGCTTTGTGTGGCTCTACCGGCGCTGCCTCGACAGTGGCTTTCTGGGGTTCTACAGCCAGGTGGACAGTGTCTTTCTCGGACACCGCCACATCCTGAACGGTAGCTTTATGGGGTTCAGCCGCCGGCATTGCAACAACAGCAAGTAGATGCGGTGCATGATCTAGCACCGTACCTTCTTCATTGGGCTCATCATTTTGGGCCTTAATTGGAACTTCCACCTCATTCTTCGCTTCATTCTACAAAGAAAACAAAAAAATTAATACAATTTAAAAAATTAGAATTAAAAAACACAGAGTAATTAAAATTACCTGAAGGAGCAAAGAGCCAAGCGAAACGGGTTCCTCCTGAATGTTCTTCTCATAAACTTGATCACATTCAACCTTCACTTCCTTCTCCTCAATAGTCACCTCCGCCAGTATGGTCTCCTTGACAACAGGGAGGGGCAGGGGGGTGTCTTCTTTCTCGTAGGTCTTCGGCTTGCTAGCGCAGCCACCCATGTCAACACTGAATGTCGAGAAAGAAGGTAAAATAATGGAGGAGACAGGAAGAGGGTTCAAGATGTTCGAGGCAGTTGAAGGTGAATGAGGATGAAAATGGGGTAATTATATTGCCCTACATGGTAAATTATTCACTGGTTAACCGTAAGTTTAGGCATTCAACAACAACAAATTAACCCCACTTTTACCCGTTCAAAACATTATCCTTTACTAAAATTACTATTTTTGGTCATAATTATATTATTTTAAACATTTTCTTTTTTAAAAATATTATTTTTTAAAAATAATTATATTAATTTAAAAATAAATCTAAAATTAATTAATATTTTCATTTTAATTTAAAATTTAGATTCTTATAAAAATTAATATTTTTCTTTTACCATTAATAGACATTTTTAATTTGTAATTTAATTAGGCTCCAAAAGGGATTTTTGACCCGACCCGAACAAATGTACCGAATCCGAATGCAACCGGCCCGCGAAGCTTCTTGAACCGGGAAAGTGGGGGATTTGTCATATTGCAGTTTCTCAGCTCCGAAACTAAACCTAATCAGAGTTGCTAGTTTCCTCCCAGATTCGTGTTTCAGCTCCAAGGTATGGATTTGGAGTCGAGAGGCTTTCGCCGTTTTTAAATTTTGTTTGTTTTTGAGCTTTATATAATTTTTGTTCCCTGTTTCTCTTTTCTCTTTTTGTTTTTTTTATGATCAGATCCGTGTTTGGTTTTCCTCCATTCGTCGATCGTTTGTTTTGGCATTTATGGGGGCTTTTGATTTCTTATATCGATTTGATTTGTTTCCTTTGAAGTTTTCTTAGAGATCAATGAAGGTTTTTTGTTTTTCTATGTGCGATTATATTATTATGTCGTTTGTTCTGTCTCTCAGTAGTTGGTTTTCGAGGGGAATTTGTTATGTTTGATTATATGATCTGAATTGTTGTTTTTGATACACATTCAAGTCTCGAATTTTGAAATGGTGTTTCCGTTTCTCTTGTAATGGAATCAAGATTAACGAGTATCATTAGATTACGTACCTTACTTAATTTCCCTTACCATAGGCAGTTCGATTCGTGGGTACAAATCATTGGGCTGAAATCAATTGCTTTTCCTTTGGTGAAATTGATGAGACTTTCTGATAGTAGTACCTTCCATTCTGAATGTTTCACATCTGAACCTGAAATCTAATCTTACGTACACAATGATACTAATGTCCCACGTTGGTTGGGGAGGAGAACAAACCACCACTTATAAGAATGTAGAAACCTTCCCCTAGTAGACGCGCTTTAAAGCCTTGAGGGGAAGCCCGAAAGGGAAAGCCCAAAGAGGACAATATCTGCTAGCGGTGGGCCTGGGTCGTTACACTTAGATGATGGAGTTTAGCTCGAGGCTGGTCAATTTAAATTCTTAATGGATCTTTTGTATGCCTTTCCTCAAAAGAATGCTTGAGATAAAGGCATCGACATTTTGAATTTGTGGAATGAAGTTCATGGTTTTTGGTGTCAGCATTTATGTGCAAACTAAAATTTAATTTTAATGTTTTTCAGGTTTTCTTCACTACTCTTTTGCTCCAAGTCAGTACTATTTATTAGCAATGTAAGTACCTTTATTGTTATTATTATTATTTAGGTTTCAGCTTCACCATAAATTATACACTATTTTTTGAGCGTTTTATTTCTTACACGATGAACTTTTTGATTGTCTGCTACGTACTTTAGATTTGTATCCCTGTAGTCAAGTGCTGTTTTGTTAGCGTTTATTGCCTTATTTGGCATTCAGAAATTTTTAATCCCACTCGTTTTTCCCTCGAAAGTAGCCCATAGTGGTGGGAAGAGTTATTAGGGTGGACTGTGGTGTACATACCTGGACAAATGTTTCTTTGAATCTTGATTGTTGGAACAATCACCATGACAAGTATCAGCTCCCTGCTGCTGAAATGAAATCATGAAATATAGAAGTGCTGTGATTTTTGCATATTTTGGGAAGAATTAGTTTGCTGTAGATTTAGTTTCAATGTAAATCAGACATTTAGCAGATGTAAGGTTTTTGGAGATTTGTAAGGTTTAATAATCAGTAGGATAGTTACATTCACAAATACCAACGAATAAAGTATGCTGGAGTGGAAATTGAGATCTTCATATGGTTGGAACTTGGAAGCTACTTTTACATGCATTTCTTTTCCATACTCCGTCTTTGTCTTTCATTGTGTTGAAGATTATTTGTATTGATATCTACGTTTCTTTGTTTCCTCGTATGTAGGGCGGATGAAGAACCTGTTGATCAGAAAAGGTATCTTGAAGAAGCTTGCAAGCCCAAGTGTGTGAAACCACTACTTGAATATCAGGTACAGGGTGTTAAGTAGAGAAGGATTTAAAAAATAACACAAAGACAAGCCACTCAAATACTAAGTAGCACTATTTAAATTCTCTTTTTATTAGTCGTTCCAACATTATATTTCATAATTTCTCTTTCGATTATGCGTCTTATTTTTGCCGTTAAGGGTAATAGTACGAACTTGTTAGTGCAACCTTTTTTTTATTCTTTTGGATGGAAGTCATTTTTATTTTGACGAGCTTACTTTCGGTTTCCTTTTGCTGGTTTTTTTTGTATGCTCTTGTATATACTTTCATTAAGAAGCCCTGTTTGTCATCCAGAGGTGTTAGGGCGATCTTGCCCTTGGCAATTATGGTGAAAGATCCTTGGCTTATCATGTTAATCATTTAGGTCACGAAGGCAACAATAGCCCTCAACAAATTGTCTTTTATGAAATGTAGCTCCATTGATCTGTGAATTCAACTCAATATTGATGGCAAATTGGGATATGTTTTTCCTTGAACTTGAGACAACTCACGTTTCACTGATTCTAGTTGATATCATGCTTTGGGGTTCACGTTGACTCGGGTCACTTGTCGTCCTTTTATTGTGGTGTTGATGAATCTTAACCAGTCATCAAGTTTTATGCAATCTCTTATATCTATGGGTGTCAACTGGTGATTGATTGACATATAGGAACAAAAAGGGTCTTAATTTTTTAGTTTGTTTATCACGTCTGAGCAGATTCAAATTAAGGTAAAATGATGGTTATTGTCTTTCGATGTCATAGGCGTGCGTGAAGAGAATCCAAGGGGACGAGAGTGGTCATAAGCATTGCACTGGACAATATTTTGATTACTGGTCTTGCATCGACAAATGTGTAAGTAACGTTCGGTTTTTATAGAAATTAGATTACAGAATCAAACGAGCTCGTGCTCGAGCCTTGAACTAACTTCAAAGATGCTGTTCTTGCAGGTTGCACCAAAACTATTTACGAAACTGAAGTAATGGACAATTGTTAGGGATGTGGGGATCCTTTCCTTTTGTGCTTGATTTTTTATGCAACCTGTTTTTGTGGACTTGGTTTTTGCATCTACAAAAAATGCCAAGGGCTGTGCAATTTTATAAAAATTATGAAGACCTTTAACCATGGTCAATAAGAAAGGATGTTGGATTCACGTTTTGAGCTTGTGAAAACTTCTTCCTTTAAATCTATGATTGCTTTATATAAACATTAGTGATCTAAAACCAGTAGTTTCAGAATTTGCTGTTACTCGGTTTGTCTGATGGCTGTGCATTTTGTGAATCATCTGCCCATTGAGATTCAGTTTGGGACAAGTAAATTATCACTTTTTGGTCCAATGCCTGCTTTCTAGTTTACACAGGCTGCTGTGGATTGGTAGGTAGATGACGATGAAGCTATAAGGTAAATTATAAATTTAGTCTCGAAACTTTAAAATTTTTGTCGATATAGTGTCTGAACTTATTGGTCTTTTTAACTTTGATTGACAAAATTATAAGTTTAAGGTTTTATTTGATGTACTTGTCACCGTTAATTCGACCGAACTCTTGAACCTTGGTATTGAGATTGTTTGGGAGACGTGGTCTAAGTCCAATATCGATGATACTAAAACTAGAATAATATACAATACAAGGTTAGGAGGCTGAAAAGTTGCTGTTTCAACCCATCTTGAACAATGAATTCCAAACAAGTGAATGTGATCTTGCTCTTCATCAGGAGTCGAGGTTCTGGTTTAGTAGCTCTTTGAGTGGATTCACCTCCCCCTTTTCTTCAAAATACCTCGTTAGGCCTCTTAATTTATCAATTAGATGTAAAATTGATAGTTTAGAGATTTACTAGATATATATAATACCACTCGTCACAATCGGCACTCACTTTCCAATGACAAGTGAGTTAAGTCAATTCGTTCTCGCGTCGCTTACGGCCAAGCGATGTATGCTCGAGCCTTTGGCCTCGGTTTTAAGAGAAGGTTTTAGGCGATGTATGCTCGAGCCTTTGGCCTCGATTTTAAGAGAAGGTTTTAGGCGATGTATGCTCGAGCCTTTGGCCTCGGTTTTAAGAGAAGGTTTTAGAAAACGAGTGCAGAGAGAAATTTTCGAAAGAGACGTTATATAAACAAGCAATAGAGAATGTTGTATAAGCGAGAGAATTAACGCTCACATACGTTGTATAAGCGAGAGAATTAACGCTCTGGGTTGGGAGAAGTTGACGAGCTAAATTAAACAAATTTTATTTTATTATTTTTATTATTATTTATATTTTACTTGTCAAGTAGATGCTATATAATATCAAACCAAGACATATTTATTCTTTCATTCTATGAATTCTTACAGAACTCTCGTCAGAAAATCAAATCATGGAAACAAAAACTACAAATATAAATACATATTTTGGATCAAACTGAAAAAAAAAAAAAAAAAAAAAATTTACTCTGAATCTCCCTCCAAATTACTTCCCATTCAAAGAGAGGGACTCAACAACCCAATTCTTATTTGGCGGCGTCGCCGTCGCCGTCCTTACCAGAACCAAAAGAAGAAGAACGTTCAATAGGATCCGGCATCGACGTCGTGCGGTTGTTCTCTTTATTAATAAGCGTCGAAATGGCAGCCGCCACGGCGACTCGAAACTTAGGGTCAGAAGCAATAGCAGACACACTCTCCGCCGTCAGCGGTGGCTTATTACCGTCGGTAGCGTTCCAACTCCGGCCATGGAGGGAACCCATAAGATGATTAGGTTGAAAGTTTCTATGGAAGAAGGAATGGGGCAAATCGGAGGTGGAAGAGTTAGCCATTGAAGGGCTGTAAAAGCTGTTGGCAGAGGGCTCATTAGGGTTTGGAGAATAGGAAGAGGAGTTCAGAATATTAGGGTTAGTATTAGCGGAGTCTAAGAGCATGAAGGAAGCTGCTGCTGAAGCTGTGGAAGCCATGGCTGTGGCTCCGACAGGGAGTGGATGATTATGTGTTCCTTCGTACGTTGTTATCAGAATCGACATGTCTTCTAAGCATCTCTGGACCTAAAAATGAAGACTTTAATGTAAGAAAAAAGTCACCAAATTATGGTTAAATTATGCAAAATACCCGACACCTTTAACATCTAGAGAGCTTTTTGTCTCGTTAAAAGGGTAAAAACGTAAATTGACGTAACGTCTAATGTGTAAAAATTTGAAAAATACCTAACATCATTAGAACATTATTGATTAAATGTGTTCGTGGGTTAGGTTGAGTCGGGTTGATACATTTTTAAGATCCAACCCAAATGTTCGACTTAAATTTTTTTTTAATAAGAACCTAACGACCCAACCTAACCTAACCCAAATTAGTTCTTGATCTATCTAACATTTTTAAAAAGTTTAGGAACGTAATAGACACAAAACTAAAACTCGAGGGATCTATTAGAAAATTTTAAAATTTAAGAACCTAATAGGCATTAGGCATTGTTGACTTTTGACAATTGAGAGGAAAATGTCGACTGAACAAAAACCGATCGAAGGAAAACTCCTTCGAAGAAGAAAATAACTGAAAACAAAGGGAGAGAGAAATAATCGCTGAAGACCCCGATAGTTATTTGATTAGTTTCACATATTTAAATAACAAACCTATCCTAAATTTGAGTAGTGGCACAGAGCTCCGGCCAAACCTTGCACGCCAAATTTGGCCCATGGCCAGCAAAAGAAAATAAGCTTTTCATTCAACGTAGGGTTAATTCAGATATTCAAAAGTAAAAAAAAAAACAACCACGAAATGTAAGGAAACGTGTGAATAAAACCATAGCTTTTATCTACCCGTCATAAAATCGAAATTTTAAGGACCTATGATGTCAATTTAAAAGTTAATGTACTAAACTTATAGTCGAGCCCAAAAAGACGATACCTGTTTTCTAACAGGGCATCCCGGGGCAACTGTGCAACGATAGTAGGCTCGAGGGCACGGATTACCCTTTGCAATTTTTTGACCATATTTCCTCCATTGACAACCATCGTTCATCTACAATAACATTACATTGAAACATTACAACATAAATTTTATAAACATCCTTAAACTTCGTTAAAATAAAATTTTGGTTTGATATTGCAACTTACAGTGGCAGATTCACATCTAGCTCGCACAGAAACCCTAGTTTTCCTGTTTTGTGGGGGTGCCATTCCTTGCAATAACTCAGGCCTTTGTGGCTTCTTCTTTTCTCTTGTTTCTTCTTGTAATTCCCTATGGTTATCTTCTTTGTTGTTTGCATGGAGCCCTAATGATAACCCTAGTTCCCTCTCCTTTAGCTCCTCCTCCTTCGATGGCGGCGACCGAGCTTGTCTCTTCTTCTTCGACATTTCCTCGAGATCCAAGTCTAGGTTTCGTATGTCATGCCTCTTCTTCTCGTTTCCTTGGAATAATACAAAGCTACGAGAGGCCTGTGCATACACGAATAGAGATATCGATTATATTGAGTGAGATAACAAGATTTGAACATTCATCAATTACCGCTCAACTACAAATATTGTCCGTTTTGACCCGTTACGTATCGCTATCAACCTCATGATTTTAAAACGTGTGTGTCAGGGCAAGGTTTCCACACTCTTATTATAAGGAATGTTTCGTTTCTCTCTCTCCAACCGATTTGAGATCTCATAACTATGTTCGTGTTGATAATCAACAACACATCTCTCGTTTCAGTGGATAAGTGATGATTTTTAGATGTAAGAGTGATAATCATACTAAGAGGTCAAATTTTGCACGAAACCCAACAAATAGATTATATAATTGAATTGAGCTGAAACTAAATTAATGTTCAAATTCACTAAGACCAATAAACTTAAAACGCTACCTTTTTTTTTTGTTACGGGTATCTCTCGTAAGACCTCAACCTATCTACTCGAGTCCGGTACGAATATATAGAAAAGGGTATTCCTAGACGTGCATAGGGATTGTGTTTATTTGCGAGAATGGATCCAATTTCGATCCTTTGATACGACGAGTATAAAACCCGTATGGATGAACAAAGAGAGAAGGGGTTTGAGGGTACCTTGTTGGTGAGGTTGTTTTGTTGGATGATACCAATTTTGGTTTCAAGATCATAGTAATCTTTCGTGGTTTGTTCCACAGCTCGTCTCAACGCTTTGTTCTCTTCTTTCATTCGATCCATTTCCATTTGTAACGCCGAAATCTATTGAACATATAATTCTCGATTAAGAATCGATGAGTTCAACAAGACGGGTTAAAGGGTTCTTAAGAAGCTTACCTCTCCACCATTAATGTCGACTGCCAAACCTTCTCTCGAACCGGAGGCAGCAACTTGTTCTTGATCTTGTTCTTGTTCGTGTTCTTGTTCTTGTTCTTGTTCTTGATCAATTTTGAGTGAGAGATCAATCTCCATAACCCTCTTTGGCTTTCTCTCTCTTACTGTTCAGATTGTTGAATATCACAATCTCTCTCTCTTAATACAAATTTTGAGGCACCAAAGTCAATTCTCTCGTCTCAATGGAATAATTATTATTAGATTGACTTTAATGGGTCCCCTTTATTAATTAACCTTCATTCACTTAATTAAAAATAACTTTCCGACTCCAAACCCTAAACTCGAGCTAGATGTATGAGAGAGAAATTGTGTATCAACTGTAATTACTCGGGATAGCTACTTAATATCATCACTAGCACAATAGGGTTAACATAAATTGCATAGAGAGTTGTGTCTTGTAAATCCCGACATCTCTACCAAGTGTCTTGTAAATCTCTTCTCGATTGTTCTTAATAAAGTATGCGAGTGTTTCCCACCGAGAGTTGTGTTCAACATAAATTTCATACAAAGTTATTTAGAATAGTTACGTGCAAACGTGCAAATGTTATATACCCGTTAGGTCTCATGGTTATTTGGGCTAGTTACGTGCAAATTTTATATACCTTTTAGGTCTCACGGGTATTAAGGAAAGTTATGTAAAAATTTCATATAGTTGCTCGGTCTTACTCTTATTAAGGATAGATAAGTAAAACTTTTGGATACCTATCATGTCTTACGGTTATTAAGGTAGCTAAGTGTAAATTTCATATATATAAGGTTAGCTACGTTGTGACAGCTATTTTCACGGTTTTTACCTTTTTATTCCTCGAGTGAAAACTCGGTTTTAGCCCTACGCAAACTATATGGTAATTAAGAGAAACTTTAGCAGCCGCATTAGCCTAAGTTG